GCGCCTGGCGGCCGGGGCGCCGCGGCTCGGTGAGCGGCAGCGTGCGGGGGCCTCGGGGCGCGGTTCGGGCTCCGCCCGTGCCGCGGGACGCTGTAGCTAGCGTGATATGATCCGGTCCGAGGTAATGAATCCCGCTGAGGCGGAGGGCCGAGTCCGGGAGGTTCCGGCGCGCGCAGCAGGGGGAAAGGGAGCCCGGCGCAGTGGGCCCTGGTGTGGGATCGGGCAGGGAAGGGGCGCTTTTCCCACCTCCAGCTTCCTCTCCCCTTCCCATGTGCGCCAGGAATGAGTGTCGCACTGCGTCTAGAAAGGGATCAGCGGTGACAATGTTACACAGGTCATTTATGCAATAAGAAGTAATAGAGACATTTTTTGTTTTGTTTTCATGCGCCTCATTGTGTGGGTGTCAGCGATTTGCCTGTTCACCCTTGGAAATTCCCATGTTTTTAGTTCCGACTCGCTCTGCGTTTGTTGCAAGGAAGCCCAGCTACGACCGGCCGAACTGGTTCGGCGTTGGCCTGGCGTTCAGCACCTCCGCTGCCCTGTGGCTCCTCGTAAGTGCCCCCGTTCCCTTCTGCTCCCGTGAACCGCTCCCGCGCGGTAGCGGCTCGAAGGCGAGGACGCAGTCCCTGTGTGCGTGGTCGCTGCCAGGTGTCGAGGGTCAAGGAGGGATGCTGGCTAGTTGTGCGCCCCAAGTTTATGCTTAAATTTTCTTCATAAAATTGAACAACTACATAAGCTCCTTCCCAATATGACCTTCAAAAGAGATGCCGCTTAGGAGTTAATTCCCCAAGTCAAATGCTTAAGGAAGAGTACAATGGAAGACCTAGGAATATGGTAGGGTCAGCGTGCCTTAGTAAAGCTGCATTTATTAGACACTTTTTTCCCCTTTTTTTGGCCTTGTTAATTTGATTGAGACCCCGCTTTCCTTAAACAAAACACAGTCTTAGAACGTTTCGTGTTCCTCATAAGCTGGATAAAACAAGCAGGATGATGTAGTAGCCTCTGGTGAGGAAATGTTAGGTAGGGTAAGCAGCAGTCATAGCACCGAATCAGTTTCCAGTGTTGAATGGATTCCCTATGCTTTTTTCCCCGCTATGTTCTTAGGGAACTCTTTCTCCTCTCTGTCAGTCACTAGTCAGCACAAAGTGTTTCTGAGCAAGGTGTGAGAAGATGCCTTACTGGACAACTAAATTTATTCCTTATTGTCCCAGTTCCAAATAATTACATGCCAGCTTACCTTCTGATACTAGGAATTTTATATTATTCTATAGAGCATGTTTTGTACTCTAGTTCCAGCTGTATGCACTAGAGCTCTTCAACATATCTTGCTATTTAATAGCTTTTGAAGCAGCATAATGAAGATAGAATGGAATATGAAAGAAGACAAAAGGAGAAACAACATGAATGTACTGGATGTTCATAGTAAGTATGCAGATATAGAAGCCACTGATGAGAGGCTACCGATCCTGCAAATCTTTGACTTTTTTTAATATATCAAAATGTTAAAAAACTGACTTTCCTTCTTCCCCTGTTTTCTTTAATACTTTTCTACTTTTGTCATTCCTCTTAGCTCATTTCTAGTGCTAAAAAAAGAAAGCATTATAATTGTGCTTTTCTGTAAGGTGGTCGATTTATAGCCTTTATATATTTAATTGTGTGCATATTCACTGCCAATTTGTTTTGTCTTGGACACAAAGCATTACTGACCATGTAGCATATCTTCTTTAGTGCCTAAAATAAATTTAGGCCTGAAGAGAATGCATTGTAAGTGCTTTAGTGGCAAGGAGATCAGAGTCCCTAAAAATAGTCAGTGTCTCTTTCCTTCTCTTTGATTCTCCCTCCTCCCTCTCTCTCTCCCTCTTTTTTTTTTTTTTTTTTTTTTTTAATATATATATATTTAAAGGGAAATCAGATAGGGCTAATGTTCTTCTCACCGTAGGAAACAATTGTTTTCTGGCAGCTAAAATTTTGATGGGGATTATGGCCTCAGAGCAATTAATATATGTCGTTTCAAAGACACACCTAACCACAGTCCTACAGATTTTTCTGTATTAGTTTATTTGCACAATAAATATTGCTGTTAAATGTGCAAACATGATATTAGTAATGTAAACAAAACACATAAGCATGGAATACACATTAAATAACTGCTACAATAAAATATATTGTAAGAACTTTCTAACCAACTTGAATATTTTCTTGTTGCTTTTTTTTCTCTTTCTTAGGTTGAACAAACGGTGTGAGAAGTAACAGGATCATTCATTGTGTTTTGCAAATAAATAAGCATAACACAAGTACAAAGTATCTGAATATTTATTCATACATTTCATACAACTATGGAATAAACAGTAAAAACTGTGAAAAGAGCTTGTGAGGCTACCTGCTTGCCATGTTTATTTCGGTCTTAAAAGTCTTCTGAAGGTGTTTTCATATAACATTTAATTGTTTCATAGTTCTCCAAAATTACTTTCCAGATTAAATATCTTTGTTATTCCGGAGGTTATATTACAGAATGCAATTACACTAGACATGAGTTCAGAAGACATTCAGCAAATATTCCCAAAGTCGTTAAAGTGTGCCCTATCTGATCCATAATATTTAGTTGCTGAATTTTACAAAGTAAATCATAATCAGATGTACGTGGTTCTATTGGAAAACTAATAAAATTTTATATAGGCCGATAAATGCCGAGGTGTGCATTTGCTGCTTCACACGGCAAAGCAGCAGCTTTCAGGTCAGTCTTGACTAGGTTTTTCCTCCTTCTGGGAGCGGCTCCATCCCGAAATACCGCGGTGCCGTCACCGGCGAGAGCAGCGCTCCTGCTGCCTCCCCGCCACGGCGCTCCGCCGTTTGGGCGCACCAAGGTCGGTCAAGGGCGCGATGAGCAGCAGCAGGAGGGGCGCTGAAGGGAGCCGCAGGGACGGGACGGGCTGCTCCGTCACAGCTGGCGCCCTCCACGGCTTTGACCTGCGTCCTCCGGCGTTTCACTCATCACCCTCCCCAGAGAAATGCGGATCCTCGATTCTTCACTAACACTGCGGGCGGTCATAAATTGTAGTAATTCCTGGTCTTCCCTAAGGGGAGGAAGGTTTTAATTGTTCATGATTCCTGCTATTCCATTGCATGTCAGTGCTGCCTGCCCTCAAACCCTATTTCATTTTCAAGCAGATATCCTCTGTGCTGACTACAGGAGCAATTACATAAATATACATATATATATATATGTATGCACCCGCGCTGCCGCGCCGCAGCGGGCAGTGCCACCTGCGCGGGCAGGGGGCGGGACGCGCAGCGCCCGTCCCGTCCCGTCCAGTCCCGCCCCGCGCTGCCCGCGCCGCCTCTCCGCGGGTCGCGGTGCGGGGCGGCCGCAGCGGTAGCCGCAGCGCTAGTGCCGCTCGCCGGCAGCCGGGGCTCCGCCGCGCTCCGCCTCGCCGCCATGTACCTGTGCCGGGCCGCCTCGCAGGCGCTGGCCGCGCGCCTCAGCCGCGCGCCGCCCGCCGCCGGCCGCCTCAAGCAGCGCGGTAGGTGCGCGCGCGCGCGCGCGGGGGGCGGCAGGTGCGGCGCGCGGCGCGGCCGTTGGCGGCGGCCGTTGAGCCGGCGGCGCGGCCAGCCCCGGTACGTGCGTGCGCTGCGCTCCGCTCCGCTCGGCTCGGCTCAGCCCGGCCGCCGCTGCCCGGCGGCCCCTCACCCTTCGCCCCATTGCTGCGCGCTGCCAGTGCCCTTGGCGGCCCCCGCCAGCCCGTGCCCGTCCCCGCCTCTCCCTCCCCGTGTGCCCGTCCCCGTCCCCGTGGCGGCGCGGAGGGATGGCAGGAGGTGCGGGGCGCGTGGCACAGCGGGGGCTGCGGCTGCTCCCGCAGCTGCCCGCCGCCGCGCGCGGAGCCATTTTCTCATCCGAGACAGCCCCTTCTCGCCCAGGGTGCGGCTGTGCAATTCGGCTGGAAGCGGTCGTGACGGACCGAATTACCTATATCTATTGTGCTTTTTTTTTTTTTTCTTTTTTTTTTTTTTTTTCGTGCCCGTCATGTTGGCCGCTGTTTGAGGTTATGGGTGTTAGCGCCTACCTAAAGGTCAGCAGCCTATTTGGGAGTGAAGGAATGCGAGCAGAAAGGAAAAGCCTTTCTCCTGAGGCGCTCTGCCGTTTAATGGAAAGGGATCCGTTACCTCTGGTGATCCCGGCTGCAGCAGGATCGCCTAAGGACGTGTAAAAGTACCTGCCCTTAGGTAGGGCATGTGCAGGCAGGCTAATTCCAGCGCTTGGAAGCTCCTGCACTGCAGCTCCTGAAAAAGCTTTAATTCTTTGGGCAGCCTCAGCCTTTTGCCCAGGGGCATTAAGCCCTTAATTGTCACAGCACCGCGTTGCACTCGGTTGTGCTAAATGCTACGATAAAATGGTACCTACCAGTTTTGCTTCAGCTTTGCGTTTGAATCATCTCCCCCATAAAGAGGAAAATGTATAGCTTAGACCCCATAATTCAATTTTGTGATCGTATTTTAGCAGCCCTTGTCCTTAATATCGATGGTTTTTGTAGCACCTCTTCGGCAGATGTCATCTGGCAGTGTTCCTGGCTCTTCTGGAGAGAACATGATTTACTATCTCCTTGCTGGTGTTGCTGCCTTTGGTGGCTTATATTATGTAAGTGGAAGCGGATCTGTTTGGGCTTTCTGAGCTCACCTGATTTGAAGTGTGCGTTAGACAATGTGGTTGAGGTATGAAGTGCATCAATGTAATGTAGATGACGCAGCATTTAATTAAATACAGGCTAAACTACAAAGCTATAAGAAGTCAAAAATCGGCTTTAAGGAACTAGTGAAATCAAATGCCTATTGCTTGTGTATTTTACTGTTACGTTGGTGGTCAGAGCTTTTGTAATTTTCAGTGGGAAACTGAAGGGCAAGGGTATGAACCTGACTGATTTGGGCACAAAGTAAAAGATAAGAATATTAGTTATTAGCAAAGCATGTTTGAATTTTGCACACCTCTTTTTTTCCCTGTTTTTTTTCTTTAATAATTTTCTTTCTTGCCTTTAAATATCCCGTACTTGCTTTTCTTGTCCCTACAGCCTCCATTTTGTAGCTTCCTTTCCCTCCATGATTTGAGATAGTGACTAGCACATCCCGAACAGATATGTGTTTTCCTCTCCGGCAAAATAATCCTCTTAAGTGCTAAGTAGATGCTGTTTGTTCAAAATGTGTTTGAGGTAGAATTGCATGATGGCATGTATAAAAGAAAAATAAATTCTACTGCTGTTGCTCCTACTTATCTTTTAAAATGTTCTATCCCAGCCCTAAAATACTGCAGTGTTTTCTGAAAGCTGCACATTATCTTGTATTTTACTTTCCAACAGCAGACGGATACAAAATATGTAAATCCATAAATATATTAGATTTTTTTTCTGCCTAGTTTGTGTTGATTTGATATATCTTTCAAGACTGGTAAAGGCTCCTTTTAAAGTGTGTTGTTGTGGTTATTTTTTTTCTCTTCGTGTCACATAGTAGCTGTAAGCACGTAGCATTAGGTTTAGATATGTGATTTCTTTTCAGGCCTACAGAACTGTCAGTTCATCCCGCAACAGGTATATTGAACATATGAATGTTCTTCATGAGAGAGCTGAGGAGCGAAAAGCCAAAAATTATAAGGGTGAGTTGAACTCTTTATTTTATTTTATTTTATTTTATTTTATTTTATTTTATTTTATTTTATTTTATTTTATTTTATTTTTTGAGGGGGGAGGTATATATGGATCGAGTGGGCTTCTGGCTTAGCTAATCAGGCCTTAACAGTGTCATTACTTGTCCCTGACTGCGAGTAAAGGTTGTACCGTGTTCTATTAGAACAGATTTGGGGGAAGAAATTAATGCTGAGGCAGTGAATCTGCCCTGTGATCAACCTCCCAGAGTCTCTTTGAATGAAAAGAGTTAATATATGAACCATTAATTGTATATTGGGCATTCACATTTGATGACCGAAAGCTTAATGAAACTTGACTAAATGCATAATGCTGTCAAAATCAGTTTTGTCCTTTTGTTTGTTTCTGGGAGCAGATTATATCTTTCTCTCAGCCCACAGTTTGGCTCCCAGCCACATGTCATCAGAGAATGCATTTGTTCAATCACTGTACATTGAGCTAGGGAAAAAATATCTAAAATATTGTAAAATACAACTCACTCGAAGATCTGCAGCTTTGGCTTTGTCATTTTTATGTTACAGTATTGCTGTCTGTTAAGCAGACACCATCTAAATGTATGATAGTGCCTTCCTTAGCACTTCTTGCTTAAGTAATTGGACCAAGCTAGATCAAATACTTCTGATGGAATGTTGCTCATGTCTCCCTCAATTAGTGTTACAGTGAGATTAATCTAAAAGACAGAAGTTTAGCAAGCTTGGTCTTGCTATGAAAAAATTAAAAATGATGTGGCAAGGATCTCTGTATATATGTATATGTTCTTATAAAAAATCTTTGTTTAGAAATGAAGCCATAGCACTTGAAGATGTTCCATATTTATGTATATGATTTAATGTATTTGCATGCATGTAAATCATAGAATTGACTTAGTGCTGTGTTTTAAAATTCCTTTTCAGTGTGAGAATATGCTTTATGTTTTCTGCTTCTGAAATTATTTATTTTGAAGTTGTTAGTTTTATTGATGAAGTTCCACAATACATGCTTTGGTATTAAAACTTTAAACTTAAAATATATTGATGTTTAAAATGTCAAAATATCTTTATTTCTCTCCTTTTTAGTAGCTAAAAGCAAAGCATTTTTTTCCCCTGGGTGCCAAGAATTTGACCAGATTTTAAATGCCATCCTTCCTTGTCCCTAAAATATATTAAAAAAAAAGAAAAAAAAAAAAAAAAAAGAGGGGGGGGCGGAATGAGAATGATGAACTATGAAAATTCATCCATCCTTTGATATAATATGCTGTTTCCCCTTCATCATCCCTTCCATAAATGATGAAAACACCACCTGCCATCCCGTCAAAGCCAAACCTTTATTGGAACCAAAGTGGATGGATGTCTCTTCTCACTAGTTTTCATCTGTTCAGAGATGAAATTAAGGCTACTAAAGCACATTCAGAAGAATGTAGTAGCTGTAGAAGGAGTAGACAGAGCTTACAGGGCACACCAAATCAAGTTTTTATATTCTCTTTATTTTTTTTAGGCTTCACAAGGTACTGAGGACTTTAATTGTAGTGTAACAAAATGTCTCAGTGGGCTATCAGTCTGATATTTCTATGTGACTGGGGCGAGAATAGAGCCTTAGCCGTTGCTCTCTAAGCTGTTTCACTGTGACTTCACATCCTCTCCACACATCCCATCATTTGATGCCTTGTACAGCTAGTGACTGGCTCACACAAATGTCCTGGTCAGGGACCAGGGAGAGCTGCCTCCCTTATCATGGGTAGTGTGAAGTCTAATACTGAATGATACTTCTAGTACTAGAAGTATTCTAGACTCCTGACTCAACCCAAAGTTTTTAATTGGATATTTGAGCTAATCTTATTTGGGCTAATTTTAATTGGATATTTGAGCTAACAGTAAAAATCTATTGTTGAATCAGCTTTAACATACCTTTTTCTATGGGCTTTCCTTTTTGATCCTTCCATCATTCCCAACTCTGTGCTCCCAAAAGAGGTTTCTGCTCCTATTTTTTTCCTATAGAATCCTCTATATGCTTTCTGAAAAGCCTTAGGCTCTTTCTTCCTTTCCTTTTTCCCCCTGCTGCTCCTTGCATAATCATATTTTTGTGTGTAACTATAGTATTGCTATTCACAGAAGTGCCACTGCTTCCTTCTCCTCATGTTATTTAGCTCCACTTAGTTCTTACACTTTTCTTTTTTCATAGCAAGCACTGCCTATAAATGATTAAAATGTCGTATTCTCAAAGTAATCTGACTTTTTTAATATCACATAAAATGAAGTTTCAAAATAAGCTGTTGAACAGTGTTAGTAACGATGAAACGGTGAATAGAAAAGAAACATGTCAAGCAGCACATCTGTGGCACATTTGCTGCGTGTGTAGTGGTAAAGTAGAGCAAACTTTCTAGCAGCAAGAGTCTGAGCTCAGGGAGCAGTTGATGAATGTTGAAATTCATTCAGATGAGTCTCCCTCTCAGTAGTGTTTGCCCCTTCTCTCCCACCAGTTCCTTATTTTGAGAAAATTCTCTCCTTGAGTCCCAAATGAAAATGTTTGTTATATTTAAAAAAAAAAAAAAAAAAAAAAGCATGTTGCAAACAAGGCTGTCATAACAGAAGAAACAATCAACTGCTTTTCCAGGTTTGCCTGTTTATTAGTGAGCTGAAATAGGATTTAAAAAGGTGAGATAGCTTAGAAGATGTAAGAGCAAATTTTCTGTAGCTCTTAATGGAAAGCTACTCTCAAATGTAGGAGCAGATTTTAAAAAGACCCTGTAAGAAGCCTGACTAGAAGTAACAGTAGGAAACTGGGACATCATTTGAACTGTGAAGTGATGTTTGTCTTGCAGAATATTTTTAATTGCTTATTTGGCAAATAGTGCAGATACTGTTATGTGTCTTTCATTCTTGTGTGTCTCCTGTAAACTTATTCCTGATCTCCTCCTTTTTTAGCAATGATTTTTCTTTTTAACATTGTGAAGCTGATTCAATCTTTCTAATCATGACTTTGCTTTTACACTTTCCAGACTAAAATACAAGGGAAAACTCTTTCCAAACCCGAGGAAGTTAAATACAAAGGACAGTCGTTCACGTGTACCTTGCAGCCTACCTTGGGATGACTTTATGCCTTCTATTGTAAAACTCCATACTTGTGAGACTTTAAAAGAAATACCTGTGTTTGCAAGGCCAAACCATATTGAGCTACTATTGAATCTGCTCTGTGGAAGGCAGTGCTGGGATTGCGAAGCTGGCTGTTCTGAATGAATGCACTCTTTATCTGACTGTCCAATAAAATGTACTCAATGTTGAGCTTGGCTATTAGTCTGTTCTTTCTATAATCAATTTGGTTCTTTGGAAGATAGCTTTACCTTAAAGGGACATAGTCAGGTTGTTTAATATGACACATATACACACACACTTTTTTTTTTCTGATCAATGAGTTGTCTTATGTTTAAATTTGAATATATGAAAAGATAGCCATGATCTGGCATAAGAAAATTAGTAAAATGATCAGTTCCTAAACAGATCTAGAAGAATAAAATAAATTCTGACTATGTCTCTTTAAGCTATAGCCCTCCCTTTTTCTATTCTTGCTTAGGTTGCAACTGTATTTCAAACTTTATTTCCTGTTGTGTTTTTCACCTGGTGAATTGGGTCTAGTGATACACTCCCAATGAGCACTTTCTGTATTACCTCCTCTTGGGCTCCACTTGGTCTTAGTGCATGTTTGCATGGTGTTTGTGCATGTCTTCTCTCTTGCTTTGAGCTGGTAGTTTTTGAGATTGAATAATGCATGCTTGTAGAACACCAATTTTTCCAGATTCGACAGTCTTACTCCCAGCAGGGTAAATAGTTCTTCAAGAGAAAGCTGGGATTTGCAAAAAGAAAACGATTTATGCTTCCAGTAAAACTAACTCAGGTTGTTTGAAACTTACCATTTATTTTCCTCTTTATGCATCTGATTTCAATATGATTCTCCTATTTGTTTATTCTACTCCACAGATGTTTATGTCTTACCTGAGTGTTGTAGCTCTTACTGGGAGTCTGCCCTGCAGTCAGAAGTGTGATCACTGTGCGCTCCACCTAGTCCTAGAGCAAGCAAGGGGAATAGGGCAGCGCAGAGCTCCGAGGAGGCGCCAGCCCCGTCCACGACAGTAACTGTGCGCTGGGCTCTGCCCAATAGTGTGGGCTACTTATTAGCTAGCTAACCTGTTAGCCAGGTTAGTGTATGTATGACCTGCATGGACTGAAGTCACGCCATGCACTGCAGTGCACTTAAGCTGGGAACATGACTGATGAGCTACAGAAACGCTCTCGAGTATGACAGCAAATGTCTTATTCCACGTGTGATAACCTCACTGCTGCGTGCAAATGGGACAGGAATCCCATTCCCGTGAAGTCCATGTGTGTTATTGCTGACCCTTTAGTAAAGTGGGTTCGGAGACACACTTGACATGCTCCCTATTGCTCCCCCAGCCCCACCTTGCAGTCACTTGCTTTTTGCAACACGTTTCTGTTATTACAGTAAAGCAGTTATGGAACTCAGTAGTTAAGAATATGGTTTCCCGATCTTGTAAACATCTCCATTGGCATTGCATTAGGTGAGATGGGTGGATTAACTCATGATTTCTTGCCTTTGTTCCTGACTCCCCAAAGTTAGCTCTTCATTTCTAATTGAAATGATGCTGGTAAAAAGCGATTGGTGAATTCATGTTGCGTGCATGCACTTTATGCTTTCTTTATTGTATTAAATAAATCCTTAAAAGGTGATGAAGAGGAGACAGCTGAAGTCATCAAAGCAGCGGCAGCCACGGAAGAGACTGATACAGTAGCTCCTGTGGAATCTGCTGCACAGGATGGAAGTTCTGGGGTGTCCTCAGAAACTGGAGGGGAAGGTGACTTGCCAGCTGCCGACGCACCCGCTGCTGTGGAGGGAGCACAGCAGGAAGCTGCTGTTAACCTGGAAGCTGCTGCTAGTTCAGAAGCTGCTAATGCAGAAGCTGCTACACTGCAAGGTTATCTTATGAATGCAGTTCATGTGTGTGTGTGTGTGTGTTTTGAGTTCTGAAGCTACTGCTTCTTGCTACCGCGTGCTGAGAACAAACCTCAGCATTCCTGAGGGCATCTGTCCTGCCAGGAAAACTAACTTAGCTGTTACCTTGATATATCATGAGCCTGGGGTAACAATAACTTTCTTGGAAGTGCATTAAATCTGTGCCTGTAAGTGCAATGCCTGGGGCACCAGCATTATTGTCTCAGGCTAGCAGAATGAAAAGGTTATTTTACTACCACAGTCTAAGTCTCTTTTACAAGATATTTGTGTCTAAGTGAGCACATAAAACAGTTGTTCCAGTGATCTGGTTCTTAAGGGTGTGTTAAGAAATCTAAATACTATATTTTGCTATTTCTAAGACATTTCTCACTAGCTTATATAGCTATTCTATTCGTGTAACATCAGTATAAAATTGCTTATGAACCAAAATGTCACTATAATCTCAGTGATATAGAAATATCAGGTTAAAATGTTCAATACAACAGCAAGTCAGTGTTAAATACTTAAGTAACTATATCAAGTATTCTCAGCATTCACCTCATTTGAAATATTTTTCACTTCCCCAAGCTTTTCAAAATCACAGTAATAATAAAACTACCCATAAATTGCATAAATAATAGGGTTATAATTTAACTTGATTTTTAGGAATCAAATATACTTACTGCTAGACTGCACATATAGAACAATCACTTTTTCTTTTACCTTTAGCTAAATCAGTCGAAAACTGAAAGGGATGCACACAAAGCAGTTGCAGTTTTTCAGCAGGTAGGGGAGTTGCAAGCCCTTGATGAAAGAGAAACTTCACTGTGATTCTTGCTTTAAAAAGGCCGCGTGATTTCCAGCTTCTCTTAAATGTGGAACCTTTGCTACACCCCTGTTTTTGACCTCATTAGAGAAAATAACTATGCATATATGTGAGAGTGCCTCTAAAATACATGTCAAACTGTCTCGATCATGAGATGAAAAATGATTTGACTGCTAGACTGCAGGTGGTTATAATGCCTTGAAAACTATTAACAGATGCTGCTCCATTTGTCCAGAATTGTTGCCTTCTCTTTTTCCCTGGTGACTTTTTGTTGAGCAACTGATGCATCTCAATTGCTTTTAGGAAATGGTCTTGGGGAGATAGTTGCGTGTTTCAAGTGACAGTCTTCTGTGAAGGTTCTAGATACAAATGGCATTTCAACATATGTGAATGATTCTTTCAGATGAGCACAGGAACTAATTATAACTGATGTATTTTAAAATGGCCCAACCAACCTTGGCCTAACCTTGTAAATGTAATACAACTAAGAGAAAAATGATATAATAGAAAATTTGTAGTGACTATTATTTTTTACATAAAAGACATTTACAAGAGAATAGTTTAAAAATAGTATTTAAAATAGTATTTAAAAAATATCAATTTTAAAATTTTTAAATTAATTTAAATTAAAATTATCTTTAAAAAGTAGATCTGTATGTGTTAGAATTAACAAATCAGAGATGTAAACATGTATAGGAGGTGTTTTTAAGTGTCTTAGAGTATTTCCCTTGGAGGTAGATGTTGTGCATTTGCTGCAAAACTGCAGAGCAATTGCAAAATTTCACTTTGAAGAAGTGGACTTGCAAGAAGGGGTTAAAGATTCCTTTCATAATGCTTATCTAAGGATATTTACTTGCTTGATACTGCAGTATTTTGCATAGGATAAATGTTCCTGTCACTCTTGTGTAGCTGGGGCAGCTCAGGCTCCTCAATCTCTCTTGAGAAACGTTGTGCTTAAATGGACTAGGTCTCAGGATCTAATTCCAGACGTGGTGACCTTGTGTAGCTAGTGGTATTTCAGAGGAGTGAACGTGTGCCTTTCAGCTCCTCAGTTACTGCTGGCGTTGAGTGCAAGTGGATGTGCTGAATAGAAGTTAGTATTTCCTTTTTTAAAACTAAAAAATTTTTTTTTAAATTATCTTTTTGCTGGCACCGTAGCTAAGGAAAGTTCCTTTTGTTACTTGGATATTTAGGAGGGATTCTGAGAGCATTTTCAAGTGTCCTCTATCTAGTCTTGCTCCTGAGGCTGTTCTTGGCTGTGTGGTAAATTGCCAGAGCTGAACCTGTGGGGGAAGAAATTGTTAGAAACCTTTACCTTTTGTTTCAGCCGTCTTTCTTGCGACCTCTAAGCAGGGTGTTAGGCATTAGGCAGAGTGTTTCCTCTCAAAAAGCAGAAGCTGTACTTTGTGCCAGTGATTCCCTCACGGAAGGGACCGCTGTGCTGAGCAGCGTAGCGTTGCCTGTTCCCTTTGCCATTACTGGCACGTTGTAACTGGACTCTGAGGTCACGTTTTTGTGCTAGCCGCACCTACTCATTCCTGGCCCAGGTCACTAATGAGGACCGTTTTAAAACTCACTCTTAATTGTTGTGCTTAAGTCGGGAGCCAGCACACAAACCTCGCAGGAGCTCACGTGAGGCTCGCAGCCGGGGCTGCCGTGCTAGAGCTGCCCTGTAACCTGAATCCCGCCGTGGGACGGGGCCGCTCTGTGCACAGGGTCACCCGCAGATTCATCTGCCTGTCTAGTCCGGGCCCGGCCGGGCTCCTGCAGCGGCTGTCCCTGAGGCCTCCGGGGGCCTCGTCCGTGCCCCAGCCTTTGGCCACGTTTCTCTCTCGAGCGGCACATAGGCTCACGCTTGTAACTTTAAATTAGCATCTCGGGTTTTAAAGCTAGGTAAAAGGTAACGTTTCCATCGGCTTAATACTTAATAGATGGTATTTTGACTCTGTGTGTCAATGTTAATGAGTGTTTACCTCTGCTGAACAGCTTTTTGTATTTAAAAATGCATTTCTTTTATAATCGTTAGAATCATTGTGGAAATACCCTGCTATTCTGCATTCAAATCAACTTAATTGTTTATTGTATTCTCTCTATTCTAAGAGAAAATGATGCCTGTAACCTAGGGAGGTGGGGAAGGCATTTCTCTCAGAGGTGACGAGGGAAGGTCCCGCTTACTCAGACAATGGCACTTATTTAAATAACTTGCTGGTTTTGTTGCTGCTTGATACTACTTCTGCAGGTGAGAGTGCAAGTGTTCTTAACATTGCCATTAAGCTTTTAATTATGCAAATAATAAAATTTCCTTTTATCTGTGAGGCTTTCTGAATGCATTAGGAAATGTAAGGAATCCAGGTAATGGGCATCCCTAGATGCGTGAAGTTCCTGGCTTTAGGAAGTTAATTACATTTTAGCTGTCTGCAATTATATATTTTCCTCACTTTAAGGAGCTTATCATCCACTGGTATTTGAAATCCCGGGAAATGCTGTTGCCAAAGGGGTATTGCTAGTCTGCTCTCCTGGATGCGGCTTCCCAAGGTGCCGTTTCTGTACTCGATGGGTTCCGCTCTTGCGGTCGCTGTCTGGCGCTGATGACGCTCGTGCTGTTTGGTTGTTAACGCGCACTGCGTTTGCAGACCGTAAATTGATTAGTGCTGGGACAGAATAGATGCCATGAAATGCACAGATTGGCAGCCTGCCGTTTGCTGATGCCTGGTGGCTTTGCTGTTGTGTTAGTGGCTGCTTCAGTTTCTGGCCTGTTGCTATAAACTTTTCTCCAATTCCAGCACGGAGGTGCAGGGCTTTGGCACTGTCAGCTGCAATAGCACAAGCAGCTGTGCCCAGGCCGTGCTTTCCCAGGCCTCTGGCTCTGGAGCAGCTCGCCGAGGATCACTGTGGATCCTTCCCTGGTTTCACAAATATTAACTGCCGGGGAACCTTGTGAGTGCAGCATTGCAAGCGCTGTTGTTCCAGGGCTGCCGTTAGGAAGGCTGGGAGCCTGGGCTCAGAGGGGATTAGTGGGTGAATGTGCCAGCGCTTTCCGTGCTGCGCTCCGATCGGCGCCCAAATGCCCGTTGTCTGCACGCCAGAGAAAGGGCTGCGTGGGCAGGAGCTGCTGCTCTCTAGAGAGCTTTTGCTGACCCTGGCACAGACAAAAATGCCCCGTGTCATCAGTGCCTGTTATTTGTGCTTGGTGTGCTGCTAAACCCCATCCAAATGCTTCCCAATTTGCGCTGGGGTCATGGGAGTGTTTCCAAAACTGCTGCAGATTCCTTGAGGTTACTTGTACCTGCTGATGCCTGTTCAGTCTTTCAGAGTTGAGCAACTGAACGCATCTCTAGATGCTGAATGGTGCAACACGAGGTAAATGAATGTACAATTTCCTTAGACCTTCAGAAGAATTTAATAAATCAGATTATTAGAGCACTTTCATATATGCGTTTGTATTTTCCTGGTGATCTATTCTAATCAATGGATAGGTTGGAAAGACACCACGTGGCTTCTCATTCTTCCCTTCGGAGGCCTGCAGTGGCTGTTTCACACAGCGGCAGCTGTCTAGCAAGGTGAGGTACTTGATACTTTGCAGCACCTCATGTAGTTGCCTTCTGTGTTAACATACTGCGTACCTTATACGCAGACATACTAGGCACATAGGTTTTACTGTGATCATTACAGACATCTCTCTGAAACTGTTTCTTTTGATCATCCATTGAAGAATAAGCTCATTCATGGAGTCTTCTGGTCATTAGTGTGAACTAATGAGGCTTTTTAGGAACTAGCGACCTACATTAGACATGACTAACCTGTGACATATTTGCTTGAATGGAGGTGTCTCTTTTCTCCAGTTTAGAAAAAAACAGTTTAAGAAAGTCCCTCACGACCCTGTGGTTTGGACCCAAAGACGTTTGGCAGCAAGTCTCTAGTTCAGGCTGGTTTAAGGCACAGCTGAAGTGCCAAAGGGACAAAACTCTTCCCTGGTATCAATAGGCTCTAGGGAGCTGTTGCTCGGCAGGGAAGGCTGGGACGGAGTGGATTTGTGTCCATCCACAGGCCTGAATGGGAATCCCGATTTCCTCCTGCCCCTGGTGGGCCCTCTGCTCAACAACATCTGAGGCCACCAGGTGCTCCAACCTCGTGTGCTCTTGTTCTACAGTCTCTCA